CAAAATGAGCCCAAACACGACTAGTCTAGCTCAAATTTGAATTGTGACCTACGCGTTGCGGTCGCGTCGCGGCTGGTAGGTCAAAACTCAAAATTAAGCTAGACTAGTCGTGTTTGGGCTCATTTTGAAGCTTGAGACGTGAAAAATCGGGAAAATCACATTTTGGAGGCATCTGACATGTAATTTTGTCATAAAAAGTATTTTTAATGATTCTAGAAATTCGAAAATTTTCCAGAACTCCCGGACCATCAACACCATCACCGTCAAGCCGCCCATCAGCAGTTGTGTCCACAATGGCGAAGTATAATAATCAAGTTTCTAGGGAAATTTCGAATTTTTCGAAAATTCCAAAAATTGAAGACTTTATATGATTTCTCAATTTTTAGTAAAAATTTGAAAACTTTTTTATAATAAATTTTTTTTTTCGATTTTTCAACTTTCACACTTGCACAAGATGAACAAAACTCGAAAAATTGAACCCAGCTCGTTGGGAGCTTCAAAATGAGCCCAAATACGACTAGTCTATCTTGAGTTTGAGTTTTGACCTACGCCTTGCGGTCGCGTCGCGGCTGGTGGGGCAAAACTCAAATTTGAGATAGACCAGTCGTGTTTTGGCTCATTTTAAAGCAGAAAACTTGAAAAAGTCAAAAATAACTATTTGGAGCTCTCAGACATAGTAGTGATGTCGTAAAATGAAATTTTTGAAAAGTCTCTGAGAAGTGAATCTCCTGGAAGTCATTCCATTTTTATCGCAACACAATGAAAGTAATATAATTAAATTTGGCTCATCGAGAGCTTCAAAATAAGCCCAAACACGACTAGTCTAGCTTGAGTTAGATTTTTGACCTATGCGTGGCGGTCGCGTCGCGGCTGGTGGGTCAAATCGCAAAATTGAGCTAAAATAGCCGTGTTTGGGTCAAAAAATAGGGAAATCACTTTTTTCCTAATTCTTTTGAAAAATACGCCACGCCTCTTTCTCTATGGGGGTGCCAGGTACTTGATACGACCTATGGACCAAAATATAATTGTTATTCATTCTAATTCTAGCGAAATTACCTATTTTCTCCTAATGAACCATTTACGCTGAGCAATAACACCAATTTTCGCGCACGAGTCAAAAAAGGGGCGGAGCTTGCTAATCCTCTTATTATGGGACCTTCGCAGGGTGAAAATGAGCGCTTCAGATTCCCCTTTT